CACTTTAATCTGTTCAGTCATAAAAGGTTTTGCCAATAAGTATGAATTTGATTACAACTCATATAATGTGTGCTAGTTTATCTTTTCTAATCTCTTCTCTTTGAAGGCTTTGCCAACAAGTCTGGTCAAAATACTCCGAGGTCTGTAAAAACTCCACACAGCGGATCTTTCCTTGATAACAAGAGCCCTGGTCGAGGGAAGTCGCCAAGTTAGTTTTTTTGTGTTTGTGTTATTATTTTGACTTTTTTGAGATTTTTTTTTTCTTTTTAATCTGTTAATTAATTCACTTATTTATTATTGTTTTTATGATTTTTTTATTCCTGCCATTTTTTCAGACATGGTGCTTTTTTTTTATTTTATTTTTTTACTAGCACCACTTTCAAAAAGAATGTTAAGGTTCACTTTACCATTTATGACATAAAGAAGTTTATTATATGCAGAATTATTAATCTGAATATTAGCAGGCTTTACACTTAAAATACTTTTAATTTATGTGGAGTTAAAATCCGCCTTTAGTGTTTGGTAGAAGTGTAAATAGCTTGTGCATTCTTCTGACTGTTTTCCATATGTTAACCCCCCCCCCCCATCAGGCAGGTCCAAGTCGCCAGGTCGCAGGGTTCCCATGCTTGTGGTTCGTGGTGCAGGCCAGAAGACCCCCTCTCGCAAAACTCCTGCCACACCACATAACCAGCAAGACAGGTAAGCAGCATTGCCTAGTGTTTTTTCCTCCCCCCCTTCCCCACTTTCTCTTTCCTTTTATCATCTTACTCTTAATGTTTGACTTCTTTTATGCATCTTTTCTTTGTATATATTCCATGTCAGATTTTTCTGAAGTTCAAAATAAGACTTTGTTTATCCCAGGTATTGTTCTGGGTGTCTTGATAGAAGTCCTCTCTTGCAGATTCATTCCAAACAGAAGTACCACAGATACGGAACGTTCTCATCACCTCTTGGTCACCAGCATGGAGGCATCAGGAGGAGACAAGTCCAGAGAGGAGGATGAAGTGTCCCTTCAGCAGGTCATTCATATTCATATGTTCCAGTACAAAAGTTTGATATTTCACTTTCTGCAGATGCAGTAATAAGCAAACGTATATATTTTAGTAAACTTTAGTCTGTTGCAATGGTTATTTGTATTAGAAGTATTCTCTAGCTTTGCTTTCAGCAATGATCTCGGAGGTATCCTAATACTGTAAAGGCAGACAGAATTTGCTTTAAAATTGATCTTAGCTTCCATAAACTAAATGTGTGTCTGAGAGTAATGCATTGGCTAGCTCACCAAGAGTGCCTTTGTACAAACACTGTTTACAGTGGCTTTAATTTATTAATTTTTTACATATAAATTGTTTTAGAAGCAGCTTGTTACAAAGGAGTCAATTACCAAACCTATCTGACCTTACCTATTTACCTCATTCATTGAATTTTAGTTTTATCACTGTTGTTATTGTTAATGTCATTATAATTATGATAAGGATAACAGCATTTGTTATAACAGTAATAATGATAGTAATTTCCCCCCCAAAAAAAACTTTAAGGTATAGAGTAAATAAGTAAGACCAGATAGGCCTTGTAATTACCTCCGTGATAAATATGCACTTTTGAAGTTGTCTGTGTAAACTGAATGAAAGAATAACTACAGTAGATAATGCACGTAACTGGCACAAGCAGGTTAACATAAAAATCACTAATTTTGTGATACTGTGTAAGATTTTTATATAGTGATTATTTATACTATTAGGAATTACCATCATCTTAGTTATTGTTTTTTTTATTCTGATGCAGCTTCTGAGGATGGAGCAGAATGATTGCTTTGAGATTTTCATCTAATGGCTCTTATGATTGTTTAGATTTTCACAGCTAGTATTAGATATAAACAGATATAAGTTTTATTGACATTTCATACTGGCATCATAAAATTAAATAGATGAATCAAATTAGTTGGATGAAATAATATAAAAGAGAGAATACTGTATTGTATAGTAGTACTTGACATAGTGTATTGAAAATGTACTGAATATCTGAATATAGTGTAGTAATTTGAAGTTTTCTGTTGGTCATGGAGGAATAGACAAAGCTTATTAAACAGCTGTTCATTCCCACTATCTTTCATTTACTCAACAGAAAGAATATCAGGAAAAGATGACAGAGAACCTAAATGATGGGGTGGCACCTGAGACCAGGGTTTTGTCATTTAAGAGTAAGGCACCACAAGCAAAAGAAGGTAACATTAAATTTACAGATTGAGGAATGCATGTGTGGATCACATGATTTATTTGTATTGTGTCTATGGATTGGCTGAATGGATGAATTTTGGTCTGTTTGCATGTAGATTCATTTTGATTGTTTGAAATTCAGTGTGAATGTGTCTTTTGGGATGTATTGAGAGGTGTATATTGGGTTAATGTATTATTATTTTTTATGTCCCTCATTTATGTTATGTTTGAAATAGACTGTGTGTAAATTATACCATTTTTGTAATAAAAAGTAAATTAGCACAAAAGATTGGGAACTGAATTATCAATAAAAAATCATATGTTAAGTTCTTAAAGAATGTTGAACTTAATGCACCATTTTTTCCAGGCCATTTGAATAACCACAAAGTTCTGTACAGTGCTGGAAAACCCACTGTGCCCAAGGCTGCCACAACAAGACACATTCCCAACATGCCTGAAAAAGTTCTTGATGCCCCAGAACTTCTTGATGATTACTGTAAGTTTTAATCAGTTTTTTGTATTGAGGTCCTTTTTATGATTGATATAGGTACATAGTTGCATATACACACCTGCATTTGTCTTTTTTATGACACTACAAGTATAGTCATATTTCCCAAAGTGACATTCATATACTGACAAGTTTGAGTTTTAGGGGCTTGTGTGAAAGTAATTTTATAGGGAGGCAAAAGCAAGAAAACATATATTGATGAAATTGCAGAGCTTCTATATTCCTTCATTTCTTGGTTAAAGCTCCTTCAGTGGCAGTACTTGTTTCAAACGGTTTCCATTATATCTGGATGATACGGATGCCTTGGAGAGCACATGTGCCAGTTGTTAACTCCAGTACTTGGTGTGTTTTGGAAAATTGAGTAATAAAAAAGTAAAAAATAACAAATAGCATGTTCTTACTTAGGCCAAGAACAAAAACTGGTTAAATAACCCTGACTGACTGTATCATTTACAGAAAAAAATGCTGACTCAAAAAATTTTCTTGTCAAATTCCTATTTGCCACAAATCCAAAACTCTGCTTTTCAAAGATAATGCCAAAAATGCAACCCCTAGTGCCACAATGGCTAGACTTATGACTACCAAAGCACACTGAGTAAAGCCTGTGCTGCGGGGGCTGCATCACGTCTATTGCCACAAGCTGATGCACTGTGATACTGCATAGGGTGAGCGTCCATTATCTCAATATCAAAATGACAGCCCTCTGACTGAGGCTTTTGAAAATAAACAGGATTTATATTTTTACTTTAAACTTTAATTTTATTTTTTAGTGTAATATCTAGGTCTGGGAGGCCGGGTTTAGAGTGAGATGGTGTCCACAAACGGGTTCATTACATCACCCCCCCCCCCCTCAAGAAAAAAAAAAAGATAATCCCTACCTACTCCAAATGGAATCCGTTACCTGAATCAATGTATTATTGTTTTATGGGGGGGGGGGGCTTTCTGCTGATATTGTACAGTGTGAACTACCTGGAGAGATAATATGGGCATACCAAATGAAAAGTCTATTATGTTTATGATATAGCATAGCTAGCATGACAAATATAGTCCTTGGGAAATGGGAATCCTGCAAAAACGTGTCTCCATGATAAGAGCTATTAGCATTGCAAAGAGGATGTAGGAGGCTTTATACAGCGTGTCAGTGTTTGTGTGGGAATGAATTAGCTGCATACCTGGGAAAGCCCCCCCACTCATTGGAATAGTGACCCTAACACCCAGATTTTCATTCTAGTGCCAAAGAGAGGCACCCTGATCCAATGTGTTAAGTAATAGAAACACTTGTTTGATGTACATTTTTAAGCAGATTCAGAAAAAAGGGTAACAATTATTGTTCTATTGTCAGAGGGAAATTATTCTGCTTTTTGAGAACCCAAAATAATTTCATTTATCTCCCCTCCCTATAGATCTTCACCTTCTTGACTGGAGTGTGAACAACCACTTAGCTGTAGCTCTGGGAAACTCTGTGTACGTTTGGAATGCTGGGGATGGTTCTATTACCCCCCTATGCCAGCTGGATGACCCCGACTATATCTGCTCTCTGTCATGGATTAAGGAAGGTTAGTGGAACTGCTCATTCATATCTGCAGTTTTTAATGTAAAGTTCTGAGTGAGAATGTGAGTAATTTCACAGGAAAAAGTATTTAGTTGTTTAGCACAAATCCTGCATTCCTGGAAGTTTTGCAACTGTAGAGTTGAGAACTGTCCTGTGAAATTACAGATTTTCTCTTGAATATTTTTATTCTCCCTTGACTGTAATTTGCTTCTGCATAAAACAATCAAATACGTTAATTAGTAATCCTGATGCAGAATAATTAGTTTCTGTTGGTATTTGAAACTGGATTTATTGCTTTATTTTTCAATTGTAATTTGTCCCATTGAGTTGATTATGTGTAATTATGTCTTCTAAGAATAGTGTGGTAAAACACAATATTAAACTTTGAGGTTTTGAATTAGTTTTTTTTTTTTTTCACCACAAGAAATCTCATGCTTTATATATTCAATATAGTTGTGATATCTATAAACACCTGTTTTCTCAGCAAGTATTAGAAAGTCATGTCTTCACTCAATATCTAGAAGCTTGATGCAAAATTCATAAACCTTAAACAGTTGACTTAACAGAACGCAAAAAAAAATAGTGACAAGATGTGTGGGTCTTAATTTTTTTACTACTACAGCTCTTCTAGATTTATTACTTCCTTCATTCCCCCATGCATCTATAAATAAAATTCCCTCCTAGATTTAAAAGAAAATTGTACATATGTCTTTTTATCAGCAATGAATCAGTTGCATCATTATGAAACTTCTCATTATTTGAATATGCTCTTGTTAACCCTATGATGACAAGGCCTTACTTTTTTATGATGTTATATTACTCAGCAGTCTATATTTTGTGGGTAGGCCTAAGCTGTGTACAGTTGGCTCACCTGTTGCAAGTCATGATGTATATATCAGAGTCCGTACAGGTCCTGGAGAATCATGGAAATTGAAATTGGAATTTCCAGATCTGGAATATCATAGAATTTTGTTTTGAAGCCTGGAAAATCATGGAAATCTAGTATTTGTGACTTTAAAGAAATTAAAAGTCCTACTTAGGTTTCATTTTTAAAAATTTAAATTAAGAAAAAGTCTTCAGAAAGAAATCAAAATAAAGTTTGCAGAATTAAGATAACTGAATGGAAAATTGAAATATTTCATAGCTAAATTACTACATGCTAATCCATTATAAGCAGATAGTTACTAAAGTGTCAATAAAGTCCACAATTGATTAGAGATAAACCTGCATTTTCCGAAGGGCTTGCTGGAATGCTGATACCTCCAGGTCAAGAATCACTCTTGCGGATATTTTATCTGTGTAGAGAACAATTTATACTTTCATCACTTATTTGTACCAAAAGTATATGAAATTGTGAGTCATACATAAATTGTATCACTTTCTTTTATTTTCCTTTTGTTTGCAGTTTTTTCTTAGTGTAATTACATTTTTATAAAAGATTTTAACACATGAAATTTTTTATCCGGTCCAATTTCCTTGTTTGGATAGGATGATGTTGAGAATAGCATAATGTGATGAAAGATAATATAACTGAAAAGCCCCTTCTCAGAGTCATGTTAATGACTCTGAGAAGACTGACTCTGTTTATGTATACTTACACATTCCCTTACCTCTTCCAACACAAGGTAATGTTCTCGCCATCGGCAATAGCTCGGGTGTCACACAGCTCTGGGATGTTGCACAGCAGAAGCTTGTACGCTCTATGGGTGGCCATGAGAGCCGTGTCACTACCCTTTCCTGGAATTCGTATATCCTTTCCTCTGGCTCTCGTTTAGGGCAGATCTTCCACCATGATGTCAGAGTGGCTGAACATCACGTGGCTACCTTAGCTGGGCACTCTCAGGTAAATAAGTTCTGAGCTTGTACTCTGTAGATCATTTTTTATTCCTGTATAAGAACTGAATTTGTCATATGCTAGTTTAAATTACCATGTGTTTCTCCATCAGATTTTGCAAAGCTGCATGAGAGTTATTTTTTAGGTTTTATTACTCTTATTGCAAGATTTCATGTAAAAGCATTCTTTAGATTTTCATGTGATGGAAGATCTAAAGAATGCTAAGCATTTTTTCAGTTTTTAGATAGATATATTACTTGTATAATCTTTTCATATTTACAGACTAAAACACTTAATTATGGATGTAGATAAACGATATGTGCAAAATTATAGTATTTGCCTCTTTTTTCCTTTTTCTTCCCCCTCATAGATAATCACTTAAAGATATATCAGAATATTAATACTTGCTGTTATCAGTTCTTTTGCTAAACACTCATATCATTGTATTAATAAGATATCTGTCCCTTTACACAAAAGGAGGTCTGTGGTTTGAAGTGGTCTCCTGATGGGCGTTTGCTTGCCTCTGGTGGAAATGATAATCAGGTAAACATCTGGGATAGCATGAATACTACACCGATCCACACGCTAACTCAACATCAAGCTGCTGTCAAGGTAAGCTACCCCCATAAAAAGCTTTTATATTCTATTAAGGTCTTACTCTTCCCTTACTCATCAGATTTGTCATGAGTTTGCAATGTATATAATGGTGAAGTAAGTATGTGCCTTATGTACTTTTCCTGTGTATTGTTATGTAAGTATTATGATGCAGTATTGCATCTTTTCTGTGCCGCATGATGACAGATAATTTTATATTCCAGGCTGTAGCTTGGTGTCCATGGCAGAACAATCTTCTTGCTACAGGAGGAGGGACTGCTGATCGCACCATCAGATTGTGGAACTGCACAACCGGAATTTGCCTTAAGGATACCACAACTAATTCTCAGGTTATTTTGGTTTTGTTATTAGTAAAACAAGTTTCTTCTTGTCTGAGTGAAATGTAAAATTGGTTCATGATAGTTTTAAAGATCAGTGCTCTTTTAAGGATTGATATAAAGTTCAGGTGAATGAGACTAGCAGGACTGTTTCATACAACAGGACTAGAAATGCTAGTTCTAGAAAGCTTGCATAATATATCTTTCTCAGAGCAGTGTTCATTGCAACAAATGTAGAAGATATGAAAGAAAATAAACACATCAGCACAACATGAATTGTATTTGACTATGTCTTTGTCAAAAATAATTTATGTATTTCTGAAAAAGATATAGTTGAAATCTGTCAACTTCATATTATTTACTGTGAAGATATGCATTCTCAGTCATACATTTTTCTAGTTAGAAGAGCAACAGTAGATAGCTGTATGATGTTTACCATTTAAATTAAGATCTTTCTGTTTGTTAAAACTTTGTATGCTCTTTGGTGAAGATTGTAATGGAGTGCAGACTGAAGAACAGATGTTATTTGGACTATAATTTTCACTTGTTTAATTGAATGTGTACTTGGAATTCTGTAACGTGAGAACTATTTGTGTTGGAGCTATAGGATTCCAGATCTGCATAATGTGCTGAATTTAGAGCCAACTTCCATTGTCATGGCCCTCTGGAATTCTGGCAAACACTTAAAGATTCTGTTAATTTTCAGTGCATCAATAACAAATGATAATATATTGTCTATTATTGTTTCTCAGTAGAATGGTGGTTAAATTTTTCAAATATGTGAACTTTAAAAGTCAGATTTAATGAATGTAACTAATTTATTTTCGTGATTATTTTAGGTGTCATCTATTGTTTGGTCGGCACACTACAAAGAGTTTATATCAGGCCATGGATTCTCTAACAATCAGCTTACCATCTGGAAGTACCCAACTATGGCAAAGGTGGCTGACCTCACAGGTAAGTTGCATCAATATCCATATTGAATTATATTTTATTGATTTTTTTCCTATTTCTGTAGTGATGTCATCAACATTACTGCTTCAGATTTTAAGAAAATTGATTGAAGCTCATCCATACAACTGTTGTTGTTTTTTTGTTTAATTATCAGTTTTTTGTATTTAGAATTTTCACATTTTTGGTTTATTTTGTGAGGTTCTTACTAATTTCCCTCATTACTTGGCCAGTGTTATTATTGAATGTTACTAAACAAGAATACAAAGAGTTAAACTTTCTTTTTTATTTTACCTAACAAAACCTTTTATCATCTTAAGCTTTATCAAGAGCAATGACTAAAATCTCAGTTCCTTCCTTTCACAGGTCATACTGGTAGAGTACTGGAGCTGTGTGTGTCTCCTGATGGCCAGATGGTAGTGAGCGCAGCTGCCGATGAGACCATCCGCATGTGGAAATGCTGGGCCATGGACAAAAAAGATAAGAAACAAGCCGATTCAAACAAGGGCCATCCGATATCCATGCTTGCTCAGACCATTCGATAAATTGTCTGGTCAGGCCTCTGCTTCCTTCCACATCTGTTTTCCTTTTTCTTTATTATTATTAATGATAGGTCTGTTGTAGGTAATTTTTTACACACCTAAACAATCCTCTGCATCAGCTGTGTGGGTCTTGTGTGAATTCCTATGTGAAATGTACTTCTGTTGTAAAACTTCAGAATGTACAGAATCTCAAGCTAATTAGCAAAACTATATTTCTTCAACTTTTAATTACATTCATGGCAGACATGATATGATTTTCTTCTCAATTTTTATTCTGGTAACTTTGGTCCAGTCTTTAATATTTATTATTAAATATGAGATAAATCTGACTTGGATCTTTGTTGTAATAACTAGGTGTTTGTAATTGTCAGGAAAAATCTAACATTTCTACCTTTGTCTATGGTAAACTTTTCATTTATTGGAAGTTCTCCATCCATAAGACATGTAATATTTAGTTGCTAATGATTTTATTCCGTAAAGCAGATGGAAAAAGTCTCAAAACTGCATAATTTCTGCTTGCAGCTGTAAATATACTTGTCTATTACCTATATAATTTATAAGTTTTAACAGGAATACATTTTCAGTGATTCATGTGTGTCTGGTTCATGCATCATTATCAAATTATTTTTATAGATATCGTGTAGAAACAATTGCACAGATTATAGTACATTGGTTGCCAGTACTTCCAAAGAACAGCCTCCTTTGTTTCTGTTAGCAATATGCCTTCTTAATTTCTGTTGTATTATTTTTATGGCTTGAAATAAATATCTCTGTTTCAGTATCTTTTACTTATGTATTGGGTTATTTGAGTGATAAAGTGAAACTTGAGTGAGTATGTTCAATGACTTGTCAAGGATTGTTTAATTATATTTTTTATGTATTTTTTTAATTTAAGCATAGTGAACCCCCATGACTGGGGAAAAAAAGCTATTAGGCAAACATTCAGGCATATTCAACATAAAGTCAAACAAAGGGAGCAGAAATACATTATAAGCCTATTTTTTCTTGAATGAAAGAAAATGAACATGTTCATATTCCAGTATTGCCTGATAAAGCATCTGGATATGTGCTTTCCCACTGGTATGTTAGATTTGGACTAAAGAGTCAAGTAAAAAATGAATAGAATTGCCAGGATATTTAATTTACCCTTTGTAAGTATGTTTTTTTCCAGTTGAAATAAAATCTGTGGAGGCTGCCCTAATCCTTCCTTTCTGGTGAACAAGTAATTAGAAAAGTAGATTTGACAGGTTTGAAATTATTGTATTTATTAGTTTTGACAAACTTCAGTTTGGATGCCTTTTGGTGGTAAAAAAAAGTTATTTAACTGTATGCCTTTCTGCTTGCATATATTGTAACCTAACCTAACCTTAAATGGACTAGTTCTAAACCTCTCAAATAAACAGCAAGAAGTGAGGGACTAATGTAATCCAACTAATCTTGTTGGATTATAATTATGATTATGAATGATGAAAATATTTTCTTACTATCTACCTTGAGATTCAGGAGTATACATTTTATAACACAATAAAAAAAATCAAAGGAAAGAAGAAAAGAGGTAGAACTCTATTAAAATAATTCTTTAACAGAATTTCTGTAAGATCCAGAACTGGTTGTTCTATCTATCCACATGTCACAAATCTGTCAGATTTTGCTGGGTACCCAGCCATGTTGGTATCCTTGGCAATGAACAGGCAGATACTCTTGCAAGCTATGCTGCAATGTCCACATCACCTCAACTACGCTTCTCATATTCCAGCTACGGATTATTACCCCCAATTTAAAACCTTCTTGTATACCCGATGGCAATCTTTTTGGTCGACTCCACAACAATAAATTACATACTGTAAAACCATCAATCTCCTCTTGGTCAGCTCCACTTCACAAAAACATACATTGGGAGACGGCCCTCGCACGCTTACGTATTGGCCACACTTGCGTAACACACGCCTATCAAATGTCACGCTCAGACCCGCCCTATCCTCTATATGTAACGTCCCTCTTTCAGTCCCACACATTCTCTTGTCCTGTCCACGCTTTAATACAGCTCGTACCTCTAATTTTCCACACCTATCCTCCTTTCACCGACCTCCCAACATATCAGACATCCTTACAGAATCCCACAGCTTCTGCCTTGACAACCTGTTCTCCTTCCTCAGACACATAAATATCCTTCACTTGATCTAACTCCCTTACCTAAACCACCATAACCTTTTCCCCCATCTTCAACCTTTCAACACTACTCTAGATAGTTGACACAGCAACTATCACCTGACATCCCCCTTTACTATGCCTTCCTATAGTGCTATATGACCTTAGATGTCTAGCACATTTGTTTTAACCATTAACCATCTCTGATCCTATCGAAGTAGCTAATGAACTGGGCAAATATTTCCGCCAGGTCAGTAGTGGCTCTCACCTTTCCCCACACTTTTCTTCCATTAAAGCCATCAAAGAATGCACCCCTATCACCTTCACCCTATTCTCTGATGAGTCCTATAATGCTCCTTTTTTCTTCTTCTGAACTCAACGCTGCATTGCAGTCGTGCCGCAACACTTATGAAGGCCCTGATGATATTCACTATCGTATTCTCCGACACCTCCCTTCTTCTTCTCTATCCTTCCTTTTAACTATTTTCAACCACATATGGGCGTCAGGAAATTTTAGTCTTCATTGGCGAGCGCTTATCCTACCTTTATTAAAAACCAATAAATCAGGAACCCTTCTCCAAGATTACCGCCCCATTGCTCTAACTAGCTGCTTGTGCAGGCTACTAGAACGAATGTTAACTTCTGCTTAATGTGGTATCTTGAATCTCATAATCTCCTTTCTCCTTCCCAGTTTGGGTTCCGCCGTGCCCGAAGTACAGCAGACCCACTTGCCCATTTCGAGACTTATATTACATCTGCATTTGCACGCCATGAGTCCGTATTAGCCATATTCTTTGATCTAGAGAAAGCATATGATACCACATGGCGGTACCATATTCTCCAACAATTGTCCTCCCTAGGTTTACGTGGAAACATGTCTTCATAAAATTTTTTCTTTCCAAACGTACTTTTCAGGTCAAAATTGCCTCTTCCAGGTCATCATCCTATCCTTTCCACAGTTAGAAGGCGTCCCACAAGGAAGTGTGCTTAGTACCACTTTATTTCTTCTTGCTGTAAATGACATTGTCTCAGTCCTACCACCAGGAACCCGGGCATCACTATATATTGATGACAACCACCTACGCATCTGGCACATCCATAACAGATCTCCGTCAATTCCTTCAGTCTGCAATATCAGTATCTTCTTGGGCCACTTCCCATGGCTTTCGCTTCTCTACCTCCAAATCTTTCTCCATCCTTTTCTCTCGCTCACGTATAGGTCCCCAACCACCACTCTTCTTATATAACTCTCCAATCCAATACCGTTCTTCTGGCAATTTCCTAGGCGTTATATCTGACTCCAAATTGTCCTGGCGAGACCATATCTTGTACATTACAGAAAAAGCTCAACGCCGCCTCCGAATCTTACAAACTCATTCCCACATCTTCTGGGGCTCAGATTACAAAACTCTCCTCCATCTTTATGTTATCTTGATCCTCTCCACTCTAGATTATGGATGCCATATCTACTCCTCTGCCTCAACCTCCCTTCTTGCTCACCTTGATACAACAATCCACCACAGCGGTCTCCGGTTAGCCCTAAGCGCCTTCCGCTCCTCTCCAGTTGAGAGCCTGTATACTGAGTCTGGAATGCCATCCCTCTCTCGACGTCGAGCCCTTCTCTCTCTCCGATGCTATGCTCGATTTCACCAACTTTCCCTTACCAAACTAATTATCCCACAATCCCTGCTTCCTACCTTTACCTCCTCCACGTTTACCTACTCTTTTTTCCGTATGCATGGATACCCTCCTCTCCCATTCCCCCTTTCCCCACCTCCAACCTCTCCCATTTTCTGTCCATTCCATTCCTCCATGGCTTATACCTCATCCCTGTATTTGCTCCTCAGTTTTCCCTGACCCACCAAAATCAGATACCCCCCCCCCTCAATCCTTCTCACTCATTTCCTTGACCATGTCTCCATTATTTCCTCCAGCATTCATGTTTACACTTACGGTTCCAAATCCACCTCAGTAGCTGGATTCGCAGTAACCTTCCCAAATCGCACTTTCAAATACACCCTCCCTCCTGAATCTAGTGTCCTTACTACAGAACTGTATGCGCTCCTTTTTGCCGTAAGACGCATATACTCTCCCCTCTTTCCGTAACTCATTAACCCTCACAATATGCACTCGACCAATCCCCTTGTCTGTAAGATCCAGAACTGGTTGTTCTATCTATCCACACGCCATAAATCTGTCGGATTTTGCTGGGTGCCCAGCCATGTTGGAATCCCTGGCAATGAACAGGCAGATACTCTAGAACGCTATGCCGCTATGCCCACATCACTTCAACCACGCTTCTCACATATTCCAACTACGGATTATTACTCCCACTTTAAAACCTTGTATACTCGATGGCAATCTTTCTGGTCAAGCCTTCAAAATAATAAATTACAACCGTAAAACTACCAATCTCCTCTACGTCAGCTCCATTCACTAGAACAGACGTTGGGAGACGGCCCTCGCACGCTTACGTATTGGCCACACCCGCCAAACACGCCTATCTAATGTCACGCTCTGACCCGCCCCTATGTTCCCTATGTAATATCCTTCTTTTAGTTCCACACATTCTGTTGTCCTGCCCACGCTTTAATACAGCCCGTACCTCTGCTTTCCCCCATCTATCCTCCTTTCACCGACCTCCCAACATATTAGACATCCTTACAGAATCCTTGACAACTGTTCTCTTTCCTCAGACACATAAATATCCTTCACTTAATCTAATTCCCTTACCTAAACCACCATAACCCATTTTCTCATCAACTCCCTTACCCATTTTCAACCTTTCAATATTACTCTAGATAGTTGACACAGCAACTATCAGCTGCCATTAATTACCCTTTACTATACTTTCCTATAGTTCCATATGGCCTTAGATATAGCACATTTATTTCGCTTTTAACCATTAACCATTCTACTCCAACTTTCTATTTCCTGCTCATCCTCCTCACCTGTCTGTATCCTAAAGCAGGGTTTCCCAACCAGGGGTGCTTGCACCCCCTGGGCGTGTGAGATTGCATTCCAAGGGGTGAGAGAAGTATTCTCATCTTGAATACAAGCAATTAATCTATTACTCATAATTAAGAAACAGGAAGAAAAGAGCCAACTAATTGATAAATCATTTATATTAATGCTTTAAAGTTTGTTCCTTGATTTTCACGTGTAGATATTTCAAGCAAGTCATTATTTCTTTGTATGGTTTATTCAAATAAACTGGGACATGTTTTCTTGTCCATATTTCAGATTTTTGTTAACATATTATTAGAAAATGAAAAAGAATATTTTCTTTTGATCAAATTTAGTATAAATTCACCTCCTTTATCCTTAGATAATCTATAAATTTAAAGGGGGTGTGAGGACTAAAATTTTCCTAGGGGTGCGGGCGTATAAAAAAGGTTGGAAACCACTGTTCTAAAGTGTGAGAGCCCTGCTGAATGGGTGAAAGGCTGGCTTTGTCTTGAACAGTCGTCGTACTCTGCCATTTTCACAACAATACTAACCTACAATGCTCTCTACAGGTTATATCTAACATATTTTGTCCTAATTGCTAATTTATTTTATACCCATTTACCATAATACTTTGTCATAACACTCGATGACCTTTCCTTACGGGGGGGGGGGGGCTTTGCCCTCAAGTATCGCCTTATTGCTATATTTTGTATACACTGCTATATGTTGATGCGGAAAAAATCATTAAATGAATATATAATTATTATGATCTTGACATAAGTGAAAAATGTCTGGTGTGCTTGACCCATCTGTGAAACACTAAAATTTTCATTACATTAGTGAATTGGATCAATGTTGACTGCAAGGAGAAGGCAGTGCTACTTTTCATTTAGTTTTCAATGTTGAACTCATAACTATAGTTAAATAATTTGTAGAAAGCAGTTAACCATGAATCTTAGAATATATAAGAGCTCCTTCACATTTATCTGACTTTCTTTCATGGTGATTCATTGGTACTGAAGAAACACCAAGCACGGACTTGCTTAGTGTAAATAATTAAACTAATGGTTCTAGCTACTTCAAAATCTATATGCAAATTTGCTTGTTTGACATCAGAATTTTTTTGGGGGTAAAGGGAAGCAAATGATCATTTATCATCCTTTATATACTGATAATAAGAAGATTTTAGCCAGTCTCCAACTTCATCCATGCATTGTCTTGCAGTGTACTTCGTCAACTTTGGAGACAGAAAGATAAAAGGAGAGAAGGATAGAGAGAGATGGGGATATTCATATGGCATACATGGGAAAAGTGAAAGAGAAAGGGATGCGAATTGAAATCAAAGATATGCTTTGGGTATGGAAGAAGAAAACAGAAAAAAGAAGATTGGGATGATACGGTGTAGGAAATATAGGAAAGAACGAAGAGATAGAAAAAGTAATATGAAAGGCAGATATTCAAATGACATCACCAGTTTAGTAAGTTTACTGAATAATGCAATTTACAAACATCTATATGAATATAGAACTCCAGATAGGCAAAAAAAGTAAAAAGTAATATCCTAATAAACAAGAAAGCAAAAAAGGAGAGAAAGAATAATAATGATAATAAAAAAACAGAATCCCAATACATATTTGAAATATATTTATAGACAACACTTTCAACTACACTACTTTATGTAACTTATGGGAACAGATATCAGAGCATTTTCTTTGATCATATTACACTCAGAGCAATAAACTAGAGGCAAATTGATACTTGATGTCTTAAGACTTGATAATCATAATGAACCACTTTCTTTTTATACTTGGGAATGGTTGGGAGGTCCTCTTCTTCTTTAACAGTTCATAACTTTTGTGGACCTACCAACATATAAAACAAATGGATGCACACTTTTCTTTTTCTCTAATACCATTTCATACATTTTCGTTTATTATCAAAATCATAACTTGGTGGAGATAATGATAATACCAGTAATGATATTAATATTGGTAGCAGGAGTAATGATAATCATAATGACATAATTATAAATATAATAGTGATCAATAATAATTATAGTAATGGTAATAATATCAATAGAAAGAGTTAAGAGTTATCTAATAATAATGATAATAATAACAATACTAATAGAAATAACAATAATAATAATAATAATAATAGTAAGAGTAATAATATTGATGATGATGATGATAATAATAATAATGATAATAATAATGATAATAATAATGATGATAGTAATAATAATAATAATATTAATAAAAACAATAATAGTGATAATATTAACTAACAATAATAATAATCATCATCATCATTATCATCATCATCATCATCAGCATCAGCATCAGCATCATCAGCATCAGCATCAGCATCAGCATCATAATGACAATAATAATAACAACAATAGTAACAATAATAATAATAATAATAGTGATACCAATAATAATGATAATAATAATAGTAATACCAATAATAATAACAATTATAATAACAATAATAGTAATGATAATAATAATAATAGTAATAATGATGATAATAACGATAATAACAATGATAATAAAAATAATGATAATAATAATGATGTCAATGAAAATAGCAATAGTAATAGCAATAATATCAGTAATAGTAACAGTGTAATGATAGTAATGGTAATATCACTAACAATGATGATGATAATAAAAACAAAAAATAAAATTAAAATTGGAATGAAAATAAAACATAAATGGAAATGAAAATAAAAAAAAGAATAACGAGAAGGATTATTATCATGATAATAATAATAATGGTTAATGATAATGATAAAGATATCAAAAGCAATATCAGTAACATAAAAATAATAGTTATAATCATAAGCATTATCATCATTATTATCATTACTATAATTATCATTATCATCATTATGAATATCATCATTAACATTACTAACATTATCATCACCATTCTTATTATTGTTATTATTATTATTATCATTGTCACCAGTTTTTGATTATTGTTATTATCGTCATTATCATTATCACCAGGTTTTCATCATCATTAACATTATCCTCATTATAGTATCACTTTTATTACTATCATTATTATAATCAGTATCATCATAACCATCTTTATAAACATTATTGTTATTACTATTATTATTATCATCACTGTCATTATCATTATCATTACTGCTATAATTATCATTCTTATTGTTATTACTGTTATTATCATTATCATAATTATGATGACAATGATAATATTATTTATAATTATTATTATTATGATTATCTCATTTTTCATAATCCCTATTAGCATCATTATTATAATTACAACTATCAATACTATAATCATTATTAACGTTATCATTACCATTATCAAGAAAATCATTATTACAAATGTCATTATCAGCGTTATCATTATTATTTTTATCATTATCACTATCATCATCGCCGTCATTACTCTTGTTCTTAGCTTTCTTACCAAGACTCTACGAACTGCTCTGCCATCTGCCTAAGACGCGCAAGTAAGCGATTACGAAGGCAGGAACCCTGCACCCAAGGGCGGCCGGCCTTTGGCGAGAGATCATCTACTTTTTCTACAGTTACCCTGATGCGATCTACCAGCCTAAGATTCAAACTTATAATTGCATGTAGTTCAGACATGTCCATCATTATAAATATAAATATAATTTATCCTCCCCCCAAAAAAAGAAGTATAATACTCCAAGTATCATGAGTACTTGGATATGCTATTGCAGCTATTTACATGGCGACTTCTGAAGGACGAATTATTAACAGGTACAGCAGTGTGATCCACTTAAAACAGGCTTGTGATCGACCAGTTGGCCACCCCTGATATACCCTATGTGCAGTACTCTGAATACTTCAAGATTTCCCATTTATTGTCATTTTGTTTTGCCGATCCGCATAGCGTACACTGAATGCGTCAAGATTTCTTATTTCTTTCCTTCTCCCTTTTCTTTTCCCAAGCAGAAAACCGTTATTAAACAAGGATATAAAACCAGTATGCCATATTGAAGATCAAGAAGATGACGACAACCGAAGTGTGCGAATAAGTCACAGCTTTTTCGGCCCGACTTTTTTGCTTCGTCCAATTGTTGCTCATGCCTGATGGTCTCACCTGGAGGAAGGGAATGTGGGAAATCATTAGATGGAATCCAATGCCCGTGTTTAATTTGTAAGGTGTCTTCCTTTTTTTTTTTTTTTCTTTTTTTTTTAACTGTCATCATTTTTACGTACAGAGTTTCGAACAGTTTTAGTTCCCGCTTTTTTATTTCTGCCATCCTTTTCTTTTTTCTCGCTCTCAGTTTTTATCTTCTTTCATTGTCTCCCAACCTCTCCCTTTCCTCCTCCCCCCTTCCCTCTTTCTCCGTCCCTCCCTCTTTTCTTTCTATTAATCTCTCTCTCCCCCCCTTCCTTGCCCTTCCCTTCCCTCCCCAACCTCCCTTCCCGCCACCTGCCACCCCTCCCCCTTCTCTTCTCTCCACTCCTCCCCTCCCCTCTCTAATTACCTACCTTGTTATCCCCAATGGCAGCCACCATCAGCGCCTTGGGTTGGTTGTGAAGAATATCCAGGACGGTGTGCCAGATGATGATGACGAAAGTGAGGATAATGCAGAACAGAAGCCAAATATCCACCATCTTAAAGTACGATGTCTTAGGAAGGGCGGCGGACACCTATTAAAAAAAAAAAAAAAAAAAAAAACGCGAAATAGAAGAGAAAAAAGATAAAGATCGTTAAAGGACGGAAAAAAAAAAAAACACGCGTGAAAGGCTTTTAAAAGAAAAAGTGAGTCCGCAAAAAAGGTAAAGTGCCATTAAAAGGACGCCAGGGGTACATTTATCACCTGTCCATCTTTAATGACTGGAGTAATGGGTTGCTACGAAAGGATGGTTTAAATGGGTTATTCACAGGTGATTTGGATGAGCTCTTGAAGAACTTGCTTTTCGTGCTTTGTGGTCGATGTTCCATGAAAGTTGCAAGGGTCCCCGCTAGTACTTATTCATTTAGGGTTAGTTAAAGATTACTCTGATATATCGTTTGATTATATCTTGTGGAGTGTTAATATCATCTCTTTCATTATAGTGATTGTTATTGTGTGTTTCATTGCTTGAATATTTGCTGTACATATAAAGGCTAGTATTGTTCTTTTGCTACTTCACTGTCGACATTTTTACGTTATACAATAAGCAAGCTTCTGTCTTTTGAGAGAAAATTGTCACTGTAATTTGCATATGGCTTGGAGGCAATATATATATATATATATATATATATATATATATATATATATATATATATGTATATGAAGTGTGTGTGTGTGTGTGTGTGTGTGTGTGTGTGTGTGTGTGTGTGTGTGTGTGTGTGTGTGTGTGTGTGTGTGTGTGTGTGTGTGTGTGTGTGTGTACACATATTTGTGTGTACTTGCACGTGTGCGTATGATGTACCTATCCATCTGCAAATTATATATAACAAATACTAAATAACTGTCAAAATGATTGCTGTATTACAACTACTACGGCTCGTAAAATGACATATCTTTATGTTCGGTCATCAGCACATTACACCCTGATTCGGGTTCTCAAGCAACCTACCATTTGCACAATCTCTTTGCAGACGATAAAAACGTCAAACAAATGAACCACATATCACACACAAACATCCATCTCGACCTAGATTTGTTTAGAAATACCCCGTAACCATCCGTTATTGCTATTCCTTTCCCGGAATAGAGAGGGAAGAGGGAAGAGAAAAAGGATGGAAGGAAGGAAGGAAGAAGAGAAAGAGAGGAGGGAATGAGAAGTGAGAAATGAAGAATGGGAGAAGGAAGATTGGATAGGATAAAGGAAATTCAACTGAGAAATAATAGCCACTGTGAAGACGGAAAAGATAGAAGGAGGGAAGGAAGAGAGGAAAAGAGAGAGATAGAGATAGAAAGAGATAGAAAGAGTAGAAGAGGAGGAGGATAGAAGGATAATTCATATTTGACAATTAAAGGAAGTGTAATCTCCCGGAAGAGAGGATGTGAAAAAAGAAGAGGGGAAGAAAAGAGAAAGAGAAAGGAAGGAATAGGAGGATAGAAGAAAAATGAGAGAAGAAAAAGGAGAAAGGTAGAAGGGGAGAAACAAGAAAAATAGAGATGAAGAGATGATTCTTATTTTGCTGACAAATGGCAATCAGAATAATGGTAAAGGAAAAGATGAAAAAGGAGGAGAAAAGGAGGGAGAATGAGAGGAGGAAGATAGGATAGGATAATTCTTATTTAATTAAGAAATAACCGAAGTGAAAAAGGAAGATGGAACGAAGAAAAAAAAAAAAGAGGGAAGGAGAGGAGAAAGAAAGGAGGGCATGACGCAAGGAAGAGGAAATGGAAAATAAGAGAAGAGAGAAAGAGGAGATGAGAAAGAACCAAAGAGATAGAGAAGACTCGGAGGATTCATATTTAACAGAAATAACGACCGAATCGGATGAACTGCCGCACCTTACGACCTTTTCGCCGCGTGTCTATGGTCGTTAGGATGAATAGTTTAGAAGCGCCTGACAGATATAGGACTGCGCTTGGAGTGAAAAGGGGGAGTGACGGTGAGGGGAAGGGAAGGGAGGAGGGAAGGAAGGAGAGAAGGGGAGGAGGTGGGAAGGAAAATGCAGGAGGGAAGGAAGGATGAGAAGGTGGGAGGATGGAGGGAAGGGATAGAAGGAGCGAAGAAAGGAATAGGAGGAAGAGGAGAAGGGATGGGGGATGGAGGGAAGGAAAGGGAGAATGAAGGTGATAAGGAGGGAAGAAGTGGGATAATGAAGGAAGGAAGAGAAGGGGGAGGAATAAGAGAAGAGACAGGAAGAGAGAAGGCAGAGAAGGAAGGAAGAGGAAAAGGAGAGAAGGGGGGAAGGGAGAGGAGAATGCGAGAAGGGGGGAAGGAACAGGAGAGGGCGAAAAGGAGGGAAGGAAGAGGAAAAAGAAAGAAGGAAGCGGAGGAGGGAAGGAGGAATGAGAGGATTGGAATGAGAGCAGGAAAGAAGAAGAGGATGAAGAGAAATGGGAGAGGGTAGAGGGCAGATGGATGAAAAGGGTGAATAGGAGGAGAAAAAAGTTGAGAAGTAAAGAGAGGGCTGATGACGGAGGAATGGGGAGAGAAAGGGAAGAAAAGGAGATAAAGACGGAAGGAAGGACTGGAATCAAGGGATAAAAGGGAAGGAGATGCAGGGGGATAGATGAGACTACGAAAAAGGATGGAAAAGGATGGAAAGGAGAAGTACATGGAGGGGAAAAGGAGAAAGAAGAATTGAAAAATGAATTAGAATGCATAGAAAAGGAGGCGAGGAATGTCGATAGGACAAAGGGAGAGGAAAATGAGAAAATTAGAGGAGAGGAGGATAAATAATTCTCTAAATATATAGGGAAAGTATGGGTGAGAGGAAGGTGTTGATGGAAGAAAGAGGAACTGCTGAAAATAGGATAGTCAGGCAACGTAGAAAATGTTGCATGTTCTCTTTTTCGAAAGATTGTAGAATCGCGAATCTATTAAGTCATATAATGTTTGCCTTTTTCAGTGTCTTCCTGTCCTCTCGTCTGTATCTTTGTATATTTCTCTTTCTATTTGTTTATCTTTGTATATTTTCTTGTTGATTTCTCTCCTTGTTTATCATACCTAACCGTGTATATCTAAATTCTATCTATGTTATTTATCTATATAATCACACACACACACACACACACACACACACACACACACACACACACACACACACTTACACACACACTCTCTCTCTCTCTCTCTCACACACACACACACACACACTCACACACACACACACACACACACACACTTACACACACTCTCTCTCTCACACACACACACATACACGCACATACATACACAATCGCCCCCACCCTACCGACCTGCGTGAAGATCGTAGCCAGAACGAGCAGCGCCGTGAGAGCTGACATCACCCTGACTTCAAACATGTCAGCGCGGAAGAATAAGGTGACGTAACTGATGATGATGAGGGTGAGGGAGGGAGTGTAGATGTTGAGTATGGCGTACCTGTGGGAGGGAAGAAGGGAGGGAGGATTGAGGGAGGAATAGGAGGGAGGGAAGGAAGGGAGGGAAGGAGGAAGGAAGGAGGAAGGAGGAGGGAGGAAAGAAGGAGGAGGGAGGGAGGATGGGAAGGAAGGAGGGAGGAGGGAAGGAAGGAAGGAGGGGAGGAAGAAGGAGGGAGGATGGGAAGGAAGGAAGGAGGGAGGGAAGGAAGGAGGGAGGATGGAAGGAGGGAGAGGAAGGAAGGAGGAGGGAAGGAAGGAGGAGGAAGGGAGGAGGAAGGAAGGAGGAGGAGGAAGGAAGGAAGGGAGAGGGAGGGAAGGAAGGAGGGAGGATGGGAAAGGAAGGAGGGAAGGAAGGAGGGGAGGATGGGAAGGAGGGAGGGAAGGAAGGAGGGAGGGAAGGAAGGAAGGAGGATGGGAAGGAGGGAGGGAAGGAAGGAGGAGGGAGGGAGGGAGGGAAGGAGGGAGGAGGAAGGAAGGAAGGAAGGAGGGGGAAGGAAGGAAGGAGGGAAGGAAGGAGGGAGGGAAGGAAGGAGGGAGGATGGGAAGGAAGGAGGGAGGATGGGAATTCAGGATGGGTGGGAAGGAGGGATGGTAGGATGGGAAAGAAGGAAGGAAGGAAATATGGGAGGGAGAGTAGGTAGGATAGGACAAGGGGGAGGGAAGGATGGAAAGGATGGAGGGAAGGAAGGAAGGAGGAGGGGAGAGAGGAAACGAAGGTAAAGAGGGCGGGGAAAAGGGAAGGATAGAGGGAGGGAAGGAGGGAAGGAAGGAGGGAGGGAGAGAAGGAATGAGGAAAGGAAATAGGGAGAGAGGAAGGAAAAAGGGAGGTAGGGAGGGTGGGATGTGTGGAGGTGGGAGGGAAGGCGGAATAATGGGGAGGGAAGGGAAGGAGGAGGAAAGGAAGAGAAGGGAGGGGAAAGAAGGAAGGAAAGAAAGAAAGAAGGAAGAGGAGGAAAGGATTATATTATAAAGAAACAAAATCATAGATATTCACCAACCAACGAATAGATCAGCACCAAAGCCAATGAAAATATACGCATAAATAAAGAAAATAGTATCCTCTTTTTTTCCTTTTTTGCCTGTGCACCTCACTCTTCATTTGTCTTACCCCGATCTCCGTATCAATTCCAGCTTCACCTTCAGTGCCGCGAATTCCTCCTTGTTGTCCACACTCAGCGTCGTTTCGCCGACAGAATACTCCATCAACAGCTAGAGATTGAGATTAAATGAGATGCATGATATGAATAGGATCATTTGTGTTATGATTATTTACAGAAATGCATGTGATTGTTGATTTCCTTTTAATCGTGGAAATTTATAGATCGGCGTAAGGAGAGGGGATTTTGGAAATTAGAATGGCACACGAAAGAGGATACCTATGGTTAATTATCTATCGCACAGACAGACAGACAGGCAGACAGAGAGAGAGAGAGAGAGAGAGAGAGAGAGAGAGAGAGAGAGAGAGAGAGAGAGAGAGAGAGAGAGAGAGAGAGAGAGAGAGAGAGAGAGAGAGAGAGAGAGGTAGACAAATAAACATAACGAACATGAAAAGCCCCCCCCCCCAAAAAAAAAAAAAAAAAAAAACGAGAAAGGAAAACGACAATAGAAAACGGAATGATTAAAGAAAACGGGACAGTCTCATCGCGGGATAACCTCTTTAAACCAAACCACATCGCGTACCTCAGACCCGTTATACCTGGCGGTCGAATTGCGGTTGAAGCCGATATAATCAGACGTCGAGCCGGAAACCCTGAGCTTCATGTAGCAATGCTGGGAGTCGAACGGGTAGAGGGTCAGGTCAAAATGGCACTTGAACTGGATGCTGTATTTCCTTGACATGGATAAAATCGTCGACGAGCCAGGGTAGAGTTCCACTGTTGTGATTGTTATGATTAAATGTTAGATTTGTAATGACCTGATTATAATCTATATCTAAAGAAAGGTAATTGAAACTGACTATGAATTAACATTGTTATGATCTCATTATGATTTACATTTGTTAAAAAACCAATTTTATTATGATTATCTTAAAACAATTGTTTTTGACCATGAATGATTAGTTATTTTTCGATCTCTATATAAAACGTAATTGTTATTGGATTGGAATTAAGATTGTTATGATTATCATGCTGTATGATAATTTACGTATTTAATGATTAGTGTATGTGCATTCCATCCATCTTCCTTGTTTATTACCTTTACATGACTACTGTTAATTTTCTTACCTCTTGGGAAGTTTTATTCTTCGGTGTAACTTTCTTTGTTAATCTAAATGGTTAACTAAGTAGGTCTTCATTTATCAGTCCTGTTAATACTGTGATTATACTGGAAAAGTTAAAACTTACAACATTGGAGGAAAAAGAAAACGGAGTGGCATAATTAAGCTTGTCAGTTACGTCACATGAGCGATAAAGTTAGACAAGGAAGACGTGGTATGCACCTGTCTTTATGTCTATTTTGTCTGCTTATATAAACATTAAATTAAGAATTGGTCTATTTTTTCAACCTGCCATTTATCTATTATCTATTAGGTGTTGATATAGATAACGCACGCGCTCAAATATCCACCATTTATCTGTTACTGTATAGTATAGGCACTGTACGAGGATGTGCTTATACTCTGCGTCCAGCCAACTGTCTACATCCGTCTACTTTTTGAAAGTTAGTAAACAAATAAATAAAATGATATAAACGAAACTCGACGACGCACCCACGTCAGGCCTTGTCAGGTCGGTCTGGAAGGCACCGCTGCCCCTGTCGACATAGAGCGTCGAGTCGATGTCGACGACCGTCCTCATGTTGCCGTCCGTGTTGGTGAAGAGGATGGTGGGCGCCCAGAGCTTCTGCGCCAGGTGCCAGGGGATCAGGTTGAGAGAGGTCGTCGCCTTCAGGTTCTGGTAGGTGACTCTGCTGTCGAGCCAGCTCAGCTCCAGCACGAAGGAGGCGTCCATGATCATGTCGGTCGAGATGATGTTGATGGTCTCGATGAGGACGTCCGCGGAGAGCAGGAGGACGCCGGAGGGGTTGACGGGGGAGCGCGCCGGGAGAGTCTGCTCGTACTGAGGACCGAATTCGACGATGGCGCAGCGGACCTCGTCGCTCTTGTCGCGGCAGTCGTACTTCATGTCGCAGCGCAGCCTCATGGCGATGCAGGAACCGTCGTCGCAGGCGAACTGGCCGTCGCGACAAGAAATCAGCGACAGGTACCTCGGGCCGGGGTCCTGGTCACACTGCGGCTGCTCGAAGTTCCAGAGCCTCCTGCCGACCGGGTGCTCGTTCTCCGTGGCGTTGAGCGTCGCCATGACAACGCCTTTGATTTCGTCCCTGAACACCCACAGCTCGTTAGCGGCGTCAATGACATATCCCGTGTAGCCCTGGAAAGCGGTGGCGTTGAGGCCGACCTTCGACGAAGTGAAGTAGTAGTGCCTCGTCTCCTCCTCGCAGATGCCCCTCAGCGTCCACACCTGATGGCTCGGGATCCTGCACACCGAACAGCTCTCCCTCAGGCACTGCGTATCGGACACGTACACTCCGAGGGTCGTCAGGCAGTTCTGGAACCGCCATCCGTTCGGCTCTCCGGATCCCCAGAAAGGGTCCTCGCGCTCCGGGAAGGCCAGCAGCTCGCCCGTGAAGGCGTCCCTCCACTCGTCCTCCTTCGCCTCGTCGGTGCCGCCCACGAAGAGCCGCCCGCCGTTGCAGCGATCAGAATAGGGTTTGATCAGGTCGTGGGTGCTCATGATACCTGGTTGAGAGGGCAGCAGCGTTAAGGCTAGCGTCCAAGAAGCTATGCAAATAGATAATAAAGACAAAAAGAAAAAAGAAAGAAAAATGTATATAACTATATCTACTTATATCTATATCTATCTTTATCTATATATCTATTATATATATATATATGCATATATGCTATATATATATATATATATAATATATATATATATTATATATATATATACATATATATATATCATATATATATTAATATATATAATATATATGTATATATATATACATATATTATATATATATATATATATATATATATATATATAATATATATATATATATATATATATATATACTGTATATATATATATGTATATATACTATAACATATATATATATATATATATATATATATATATATATATATATATATATATATAATATATATATATATATATATATATATATATATATATATTACACGCACACACATATACACATGAGTACACACACTGCTCATAATACCGAGACGAAGAGAGAAGAGCAAGATGCCTTTGTTTTTGCGATGCGGGCGCGTTATGTTAATTTTCAAGAAGCTATGCAGATTGCTAATTTCTTGCGTGTCTTGATGTTCTCAAAAGCATTAGTTACTGCTCGACTTACCTGGAACGGTCGTGGGCGCGGGGATGTAGCCGCCCATCGCCTTGCAAGTGGAGGCGGCAGAAGGGAATGACTGAAGAGCCAAAAGGATGTAGGTGGTGTTATCTTCGTCCTTGTCGCACACCTGCAAATATCATTGGAGACAGATCCCCTTTATCGACCAGCTACCTCGCTCACATGACCATGTTCTGAGTCCCATCACACACCTTGCTAACGAGGCCCCTTTCTAAATTTTCTTTATTCTTTACAGTGTTAGGTTCAAAAGGTACAATTTCATCATTCTGACCTTGCTATTTGGTATGTTCTCGACAGTAACTTCGGTCAGGTTCCATTCTCCTTCCCACGATACGAGGTCACCTCCAAGGTCAAGTGTGCAGTCGGATAATTCTCTGACCTGCTTTTCGGAGAGAGCGCGACTCCAGAAATTAGCCTGAGGAAAAGAAAAAAAGTAGGGAAGAAAGACAAGAGAAGAGTACGCGATTTCGTAAAACGGGGACTGCAACAAGGTAATAACATAAAAACGCATGCTTAGTTCATCATGGATTTAAAAAATATTCATTCTTTTATATGGAGGCACAGATGACATTCCGCTACCAAAATTATCAACTCTTGTGAGGCATACAAACATACATACATACATATATATACATATATATATATATATATATATATTGTAGAAAAGGTATGAATGAGACTGGATATCTTCACAATACAAGAGATGTATTTGACCGGTTTCGATTACGTCTTCATCAGAAATACATACATAAGAGAAAATACATAGCAAATATATACTACATAGGAGTTGGTAGATCACCTGACGACTGTGACCTCGCACTCGTTACGCGCATAATTGCAGCTGCGACCTTGGACACTTTAAACCTGCCTGATGTGGTGTTCATATTCTTTTCTGTCGATGTATGCAGCTTCCATGACCTTCCTTTTAGGTTTACTCAATCCTTCATGGATTACTTCGGCTTCTTTCAGTTCAGTAGATGTCCAGCTTCATCTACATGATGGCATAATGAACTACCATGACATTGGAAGTCCTGTGGTGACGGACGTCGGCTCGATGTTCGATGATCCTGGTGTTTGATTACATATGTAACCTCAGTCTCAAGAAACTCAGGGCTGCAGATCCTCAGTGCCCGGAGAAAGAAGCCAATTACAACCCCAGATTTTGTTTTGCTGCTGTGGGCGGAGCAAAACAAAATCTGGGGTTGTAATTGGCTTCTTTCTCCGGGCACTGAGGATCTGCAGCCCTGAGTTTCTTGAGACTGAGGTTACATATGTAATTAATTCTTTTATGCAACATAAGTACCCAAAAGGTCTCTTGCTAAACCTCAGTAAGAAGGCGGAGAACATGCAAGATCAACCCCAGTGACATCCTCTGACTTCCTCATACTGCCTCCATGTAACGTTTCCCAGGCGATTAGCAAATACTTTGGAAAACGGTGAAAATCGCCAGCACATCCGGGGAAAAGATACATGATATGATACGAGACAAGAAGCAGTTGAAAAGCAACCCCAAGAGTGCAGTGCAGTATATCGCATACCCTGCAGCGGTTGCGATAAGGCCTATTTTGGTGAAACGGGACGAAGCTTCAACACCAGGATCATCGAACATCGAGCCGACGTCCGTCACCACAGGACTTCCAATGCCATGGTAGTTCATGTAGATGAAGTTGGACATCTACCGAATTGGAAGGAAGCCGAAGTAATCCATGAAGGATTGAGTAAACCTAAAAGGAAGGTCATGGAAGCTGCATACATCGCGACAGAAAAGAATAAGAACACCGCATCAGGCAGGTTTAAAGTGTCCAAGGTGGCAGCTGCAATTATGCGCATAACGAGTGCGAGGTCACAGTCGTCAGGTGATCTACCAGCTCGTATGTAGTATATATATGCTATGTATTTTCTCTTATGTATGTATTTCTGATGAAGACGTAATCGAAACCGGTCAAATACATCTCTTGTATTGTGGAGATATCCAGTCTCGTTCACACCTCTTCTACATTTGTCAACATGGATATGTTTCATATATATATATATATATATATATATATATATATATATATATATATAATATATATATATATATATATATATGGATATGTATACATTTAATACTTTTTTTCTTTATCACAACAGAAACACAAAATATTAATAAAATAAACAAGACAAACATCACAAACCTGAGTAATCTGCCCACTGAAGGCGTAACTCGAACCCATGTTCACGCCGAGGCCCAAAAGCAGGTGCTGGACGTCGACTCTCCCTGCTTCGACTTCCTCCTCCCGGATCACCTCTTGACCGTCTAAATACAGTACTAGCTCTGAAGACAAGCTGCGGGTCGTATGAATTAGTATTTCAGTACCGAAGGCTTGTAAGGGAACTAGTAAATATGGAATATAAAGCAGGGGTGGCCAACCGGTCGATCACAAGCCTATTTTAAATCGATCACACTGCTGTACCTGTTAATAATTCGTCGTTCAGAAGTTGTCATGCAAATAGCTGCAATAGCATATCCAAGTACTCATGATACTGGATTATTTCTTTTTACTGGAATAAACTATATTCATATCCATAATGAACTACATGCAATTATTTATGTTTGAATCTTAGGCTGGTAGAACGCATCAGGGTAACTGTAGAAAAAAGTAGATCATCTCTCACAAAAGCTTGGCGAACCCTGACAGAAAGGATGTGCGATCGATTTGTCTCTATGTACGTACATTAGCTGTACTTGTATTTTTTTCTTGGAAGAGGTTTTTGCATTATACGATCTTATATATTAAATAATTCCTTTGTAGGGTATGTTGTTTGTTATGAATACAGATCGAAGATGAAGTACGGTGCCCAGAACATAACCAGCATTATGTGCTGTCGGTGCGTGGTATATAATCAGTGGTATAAGTGGTCAGTCACCAATATATAACCAAGGTTATGTGTTGTCGCTCACCAACTGAACCAATAGTATATGTTTGCCGGATATTAATCCATAACTAAAAGTCAGTTAATAATGCACAGCCAAACGGTGTAGTTGGAAAATTAATGGAAAATCATGTGATGGTAACAACAACAGCCAAAAGTATGATTTCGGTAACCAATACACAGCCATAAGTACGTGTTAGCTAAAGGCCAATGCAGAACCAAGATTGCATGTCGGCGACCAATACATGTAACGAACCTCATGTAAGTTCCGCAGAAATGGTACCATCGCCAGGTCTCCAGGTCGCGAGGCAGGTCGAAAAATTTGGAGAATTTTCCGATGCGCTGACGAATGGTCTTGAAGAGAACTTGAAGGTAAATAACTGCAGAGAGATGGGAGATACATGCATAGATCGATAGGGAAATGTCCAGCTGAGTATGATAAAGCAGGGATATCTTATAACGCTTAGTCTTAAATGTGACTCTTGGTCTAATTGTTGCTCCGGTCATACATACTTTCTGTTTTATGTGATCAACAGCCTTTTCTCATCTAGGTTTGTCCACTCTGCTATATTTTGAATCGAATGGCCTTTGCATATGTGTAATATAATATTCTAAATCAAATGAAGCAGATGGACTATCTATGCTATGAAAAAACAAAGGGGTCATTTTACATCATACAAAATAACGCTATCTAACCCACATGGTTAGCTTAAGTTGATATTATATCTGATCCGCCGGAGTGAGTTTGGTACTCCAGGTTAAAGGTTATGACAGTCAACAAATAGAGAGAAAGGTGGAAATTGTGAGTGAGACAGAACGAAAGAGAGATATAGATTAAGAAGAGACAAACAGACGTAGAGAGAAGTTAATAGGGATATAGGGAGAAGTTTCGAAAAAAACAACAATAGATAAATAGAAAGCAAAGGACAGGTGGAGAGCTAGAGGAATTGAGACTGGGACCGAGAGATATGCGGGTCACACAAGCAAACAAATGAATGCACATCTCAATTAAGATAATAGAAACCGGTCCAAACCAACTCAACCGGTGATTTAGAAACAAAGGACTACAGTGAAAAATAAATGCTCATGTGGATCTGTTTGTTTGTTTGTGTGTGTGCATGTGTGTGTGCATATGTATAGATTTACCTGTGTGTGTCTAGCACGCATATGCACTTATATATATATATATATATATATATATATATATATATATATATATATATATATATATATATATATATATATATATATACGCTTATCATCTTCCCTTACACCTGTCCGTGTCGGCCTTCGCGCGCTAACGAGACTAGACACCTGACGGAAGTAGAACACACGAAACCTCAAGCAGACCGTGTTGTCCTCGATGACCAGGTCGCTCAAGTCACGGGTGGAGGTGGCGAAGCTGGGTCGGAGGTCACCGTCGCGGTTTGAAGGTCATCACACGCAGTCCGTCTGAGGCGCACACATGCAGACACG